ACTTTGATGGACCAAGGGTCTGATTCAGTATAAGGCAGCCTCATGTATATATTAGTTTTAGGAACTTATTGTGATGTCAGAATAGTAGCGGGTGTTATTTTAGCAAACGCCACATCATTTTGGAAAAACAAAATGGCTTTGCAAGTAGCACGTTCCTTGGGTACACATCTGAAATCCTGCAATTGTTCCGAAGTTTGTGGCTCAGGGATACCGCGCTGCCTAAGGCTTTCAGATCTGGAACCTCCAAAACGAACCGACGGGAGTTCGAAATCCTTGTTGGCTTTCATGACTCTGTGCATTTGGAGGGAAGAAAAGGAGCCTCGCAGACACGCTTCGCGAGTTCTTATCATCAGGCATCAGAACAAGAAATTCTCACGGGGAGGGAAAGGAAGGAAGAGATCAACTCAGTCGATGTGAGCCCTCTGTCAAAATATTTCTCCCTTTAACAGAGGTCTTGTAACAAAGTCCCTGGGCTGCCTTGAACACTAACAGAGGAAACAGCACGTTCGTGGATTATTAATCGTTGTTAAGTGATTGTGTGGAAAAATCATGCCTTTTAGATGGGAATCCAAGAGTTACACCCTTCTACATCGACTGAAGTCAATGGGATTGGAAGGGTGCCATTCTGCTCAGGGTGGGACTGAGAGATGGATTCACAAGTGCTGCGTGACTTTGCCATCCAGTGACAGCATGCATGTGTGAATGAGTCATTACAGGGACAAACATTACAGATGGTGTATTCATACAGGTCCGGATTCAGATGTATGTAGGGTTTTTTTTTTAGCAAAATTGCCTTAACAACATAAGAAGAACCCTGCAGGATCAGATCAGTGGTCCATCTAGTCCGACATTTCCTGTCACACAGTGGCCAGACAGTTCCTCTGAAGGCCCAACAACGGGGCACGGAGGCCGAGGCCTCCCCCTGATGATGCCTCCTGGTTCTGGGATTCAGAGGCTGACGGCCTCAGAGTGTGGAGGTTTCGTTAAGTCACCGTGGCTAGTAGCCACTGATGCACATATCCTCCTTGAATCTCTCTTTCTTTTAAAGCCATCTGTGCCTGTGGTCGTCACTACATCCTCTGGCAGCAAATGCCACATTTTAATCACTCATCCTATAAAGAAGTGTCTCCTGAATTTATGGCTCACCAGCTTCTTTGGGTGCCCTCGAGTTGTAGTATTTTGGGAGAGGGAGAAAAATGTATCTTTGTCAACTCTCTCCACCTCATGTATAGTTTTATAAACCTCTATCATGTCCCCCCTTAATTGTTTGTTTTCTAAACTGAAAAATCTCAGACTTGGATGATCTTGACAGGCTGGAAAACTGGGCTAAAACAAATGAAATGAAATTTCAATGAGGATAAATGTAAAGTTCTGTATTTAGGTAGGAAAAGTTAAATGCATAATTATAGGATAGGGAAGACTTGTCTCGGCAGTAGTATGTGTGAAAAGGATCTAGGGGTCTTAGTAGACCATAAACTGAACATGAATCAGCAGTGTGATGCGGTAGCTAAAAAGGCAAATATGATTTTGGGCTGTATCAACAGAAGTATAGTGTCCAGATCACATGAAGTGATGGTATCACTTTACTCTGCTCTGGTTAGACCTCACCTAGACTATTGCGTTCAGTTTTGGGCACCACAATTTAAGAAGAATATAGACAACCTGGAACGTGTTTAAAGGAGGGCAGTGGAGATAGTGAGGGGTCTGGCCACCAAATGAGAAGGGAGCACTCACTGGAGAAGACCCTGTGTCAGAACCCACAGCCAACAACGTAGTACATGCTTATCAGGAAAGGTAATACTTTATTGAAGAGCTATAGATGCATTAACATAGGCACTGTTAAGAATGGCGGTTGCCCCTGGGCATAATAGGATATAGGGTATTCGTATGCACACACACACACACACACTTCCCTGCGCCACACTCCCGCGTGCGGGAGAAAGAGCTCTGGCCGTTTAGCACTGAAGCTGGGAACCAAACTCTCTCCCATGGTTCCCGAGAAACCCAGACATCAACATCACCACCTGCAGAACTTGTAGATAAGCGTTGCAGCAGCGAAGAAGCACAGAAGGAATGCACTGGCAATTAGAATACAACTAACCTCCCCACTCCCATGGCAGCATAGCTGACGCCCTGATGCCGGGAAAGATTGAAGGTCAAAGAAGACGGGGACGGCAAAGGATTATGTTTAGCCTGGAGAGGAGACGACTGAGAGGTGATATGATAACCATCTTCACGTAGTTGAAGGTTTGTCATATAGAGGATGGTGCAGAGTTATTTTCTGTTGCCCCACAAGGTTGGACCAGAACCAACGGGTTGAAATTAAATCAAAAGAGTTTTCAACTAAACATTAGGAAGAACTTCCTGACAGCTAGAGTGGTTCCTCAGTGAAACAGGCTTCCTTGGGAGGTGGTGGACTCTCCTTCTTTAGAGGTTTTCAAATAGAGGCTAGATGGCCATCTGACAGCAATGCTGATTCTGTGAACTTAGGCAGATCATGAGAGGGAGGGCAGGGAGGGTTGCATCAGTTTAAAGCTATTGTTATGCCAGTAAAGGTTATTGGAATTGGTTGCCTCCCTGCTTAGTTCTCGTGGCCCTTTCTTACACACCCAGGGAAATGCCGATCACCACTTTGGGGTCAGGAAGCAATTTTTCTCCAGGCCAGTCTGGTTTTTTGTCCTGGAGTCTTCTTGTCATCTTCTGAGCATGGAACAGGGTTCACTGGGTGTGTGTGTGTGGGGGGGGAGGTATTTGTGAATTTCCTGCATCATGCAGGGGGTTGGACTAGATGACCTTGGAGGTCCCTTCCAAATCTATGATTCTTCAGCCTTTCCTCCTAGGGCAGGAGCTCCACCCCCCCTATTCACCACGGTCACCCTCCTCTGTACTTTTTCCAGCTCTGTGATGTCCTTTTTGAGATACGGTGACCAGAACTGTACACAGCATTCCAAGTGAAGCTGCACCATAGATCTATACAGGGGCATTATAATACCAGCCATTTTCTTTTCAATCAGTTCTGGTGATCTTCCCCTGCCTGCATTTGACCCCCTCACTTCTGGGGCTCCTCCATCCCAAGGGTACGCTTCTTGGTGGAGTCAAGTTCAAACATTCAGCTGCCAAAATCTTGCATCTGGTAATCAGAAATTATATGTAACCAGTTCAAAGTTCCTGGCTGCTAGGACAACTCCGTCATTCTTAAACGCAGTGTGACTTTTTTTATTTGTAGCAATGCAAAATGATTGTCCAAAGCAGAAGCAGGTATTCAGGGCATGCCCAACTGAGCAGCATTGATTTTACATGGCATTTCTAAGCAACATTAGGATTTGTGTACGGCAGTGAGAATCCACCTGGTTTAGGTGTGCATTCTGTTTTAATCACCTCGGTGGTGACATCTCTCTTGTCTTTTCAGTAGTTTCTTGAGATCATACTTGGGTTGTACAATGTATGTATCAGTTATCTTCTCTGCGTTGAGCAGTGTGTGAATTCTGTGGGCAGAAGGGGTAAGGATTTTCATTAACCAGAAGCAGTGTAGCCACGTGGCCCCCTTTCAAAATCAGTCACTGCAGAACTGGGGTATTGAACTTCAGGAAATGTTGAGGGCACTCGGGATTGTGACATCAATTTGTTTGATGAACTGGACACAAATGCTTCAGGAAAACCGCTTGCATAAATGAACAGGGCCAGCAAAATTTCATGTATGTCCTGGGCCACTTGGGAAAAAAAACTACTTGGACTTTTACGAGGCACATTTTTACATAGCAAAGATTTTCTCCAAAGGTGCTGAATTGGAGACCCTTGTCTGTTCCTGCCTTCCAAGATCTCCCTGCTAGTGTTATGCGGAGGCCCGGATGTTAGCATCTAGTGGGCTGGCCATTAGAGGGCAATTCTCTTGCCCCCTTTTTAAAAGCTGGGAGTGTGAAAGACTTCTCCAGCCTTTCTTCCATTTGGAAACAGGCAATTCCCTCAGAGGCCCTTGACCCTTTTCACAGTGTGAGATGTACACAGTGGGGGGTGTACAATTCTCTGTTACCCTGTTTCCTACACTGCCCGACACTTTCCCCATTGGGGAACTGAGAGACTGAGCCAATATCTGCAGCTGAGGGCCAGTGTCTGCTGACCCCTGACACCGCTCACAGTAGAAGAATAATAATAATAAGAGATTGGATTTATACCCCACCCTTCACTACCCAAAGGTGTCTCAGAGCGGCTTACAAACTCCTTTCCCTCCCCTCCCCACAACAGACACCCTGTGAGGTAGGTGGGGCTGAGAGAGCTCTTGACAGAAACTGCTCTTTTTCAAGAACAGCTCTTATCAGAACTCTGGCTTGCCCAAGGTCATCCAGCCAGGTATAAGTGGAGGAGTGGGGAATCAAACCCGGTTCTCCCAGATTAGAGTCCGTGCACTTATCCACTGCACCAAATCTAAGTTTTGCTGCCACTCTGAACTTGTTATGGACTACTGAGTGGTGGTGGTGGTGAAGAGGTTTAAAAATCCCTAGTTAAATAGGAAACCGATTGTCCTTAATTGGAGTTAGAATTGCCAACTCTGAGCTGGAAAATTCCTGGAGATTTGGGGGTGGAGGCTGGGGAGGGTGAGGTTTGAGGAGGAGAGTTTTAGCGAGTTCTGAAAATGCGGGGTAAGAAGGAGAAAACTTTGGGTTTGTGCCTGGTGAGGAAAAATCTACTGCAGAAAATTTCAGATAATGTGCAGTTTTAAAACGTCAATGCAGGGAATTTCACTAGTGCAGAAATGGTCTCGGGGTGAACCCAGATGCAGTCTAAGGGCTTTGTATTGTGTCCTTAGGCCCTTAGACTAGCTGCTGTGTTTCAGACTCAGCTATATGAAAATATTGGCCTGCCTGACAGGACTGTTTTAAGAATTTCTTTTTGCTATAAACGCCATATAAATGCTGTTGTTTTCTTACACCCTATTCCCTTGCTCAAAGTTTTATGTTGTGAAACTGCATTTTTTTAAAAAAAATTCTGTGCTTTGCCTCACAGATCCAGATTGGGCATCTTACACATTGGGCATGTTTATCTGCTTAAATTGTTCGGGGATTCACCGCAACATCCCACAAGTCAGTAAAGTGAAATCTGTCCGTCTGGATGAATGGGACAATGGGCAAATCGAGGTATGCTTTTTGTACAGATGAAACATAGTGTACGTGGCTGCTCAGTCGTTCCACGGTCCTTAACCGAGCTCAGGATACACCCTTCGAATTTCTATAGGCTCCAAGGATCTCTCTGACCTTGGCGGCGCCAGTGCTGGTTATGGCTTTGTCTGCTTTTCTTGTTGTCTGCTTTGCGTTATGTCACTGGATGCTCAAACTGATGACGAGAGGAGAGATTTAATTCTGCCTTTCCCTGCAGCCTTCCAAATTTCCCCCGAGTCCAGGAACAGAACGGTTTGATGGGTCTTCTCGGTGGACAGTGATCTAATAATGGCTGAGTGCCCTTGCCTGCGCTCTGCCGTAGTTTGACTTTTCTTGCCATCTGTCCAAGCGGAGAAGTCTCGTGGTTTGGTGTGACCCAAAGATGCGAGGATATCAGATCCCCCGACACCTTCCGCATGGCTCTAAACACACTGGATTCCAGTGTGACCTAGGCTATTATAACCTGCATCCAGAACTATTTCTAAGCGGTGGATGCATATCTACCAAGGCGAGGGGGGAATAGGGAAAACCTCTAGGTTCTTTTTCAGAAAAATGCTGTCTTCTAAACTGTGTGCTTCCACATAGGGATTTTCCTCTCCATGTGGACATCAGGCAGCCCCTGCAGTAATGGAGGGGGGGCATCCAGAAGGTAACGTGCCTCTTAGGATTGCCTGAGTTGGGAAATACCTGGGCAGGCCCATAGGTACAGTGGGGCTTTTGGGGGCACTGCCCCCTTTCTTAAAGGCCCAGCCCCACAAGAATTTCTCCTGTAAATGCTTTTTTCAATCATTTTAAAGCATTTTTTAAAAAGGCATGCACTCCTTTAAGCAGAGTGGGGTGCTGTAGTTGACAAATTCCCGCCCTGAGCAAAGGGTTGGAGTAGGTGACCTCTAAGATCCCTTCTAACTCTGTGTCAAGAAATTGGTCTCCTGTAAGAGAGTTTTTATGCCTAAGTGTTAGCTTTCTTGATTATAGAGGTTATCACCCCCACCTGCTGGCTTGTTATCCGAACAGTGCTTAGGCTGGCAGAAGTGATTAACTTGCAGCAGCTGTCATCTAAAGTGGTTGATGGCTTGCAGTTTTAGAGATCTCTCCTGGTAACAGCTTTCTGTTGTCTAAATGGCTTTTCTTTCTGCACTGAGAACTTCAACCCCACCAGAAAAAAATTTGCTCCATAAGCCACAAAATCCTGGCTACATGCCTGTACCGGGAGATTTTATGGTTGGAGCCTGGGGAATGTGGGGTTTGGGTAGGGGAAGAACTCAGTGGGGTATGACGCTGCTAGAGTCCACCCTCTGAAGCCGCCACTTTCTCCAGGGGAACTGATTGATGTCGTCAGGAATTCAGTTGTGATCCTGGGAGACTTGGAGGCTGGCAAGCCTACAATCTGGGCATGATTCGTCTAGCTCCCATTCTCTCCCCCCCCCCTTTAATCCAGAGCAAAAACAGCCCCCATTTTCTCTGGATTCAAAGGGAAATTGCAGGGTGACCCTCTGTGGGTCAGGGCCACAGAGGGGGGAGTCCTAATAAAATCACATGAGACTCTTTGCAGGTGGGCTCTCTTGCCACTGCTATATTGGGGTCAGTTTTTAACCCCGACATCAACCCCTGGTCAGTGACTTATTAGTTCCGTGCTGATGGATCCAATAGGGCTGCCAGCTGTTGGTTGGGGACTACCTGGAGATTTGGGGGGGGGCGGTGGAGCCTGGGGAAGGTGGAGTTTAGGGAGGGGAGGGACCTCAGCAGGATATAATGCAATACAATCCATCCTCCAAAGCAGCCATTTTCTCCAGGGGAACTGAATTTAGGTGGCTAGAGATGAATTGTAATAGCAGAAGAACTCCAGCTGCTGCCTGGAGTTTGGCAACCCTATCCAATTGTGAACCTGTTATGTTCTTAGGAGGCAGTGAAGTGGGCTATGTACCACTTTGGACGATGGTGGTGATGGGTTGCCAACTCCAAATTAGGAAATTCGTGGAGATTTGGGGGTAGAGCCTGGGGAGGGTGGGATTTGGTGAGGGGAAGGAGCTGCAGTAGCTACAGTACTGTCTATGACTGTTCTGCCACAAGGCAGACCAAATGTTAGGGAATTGGACACTGGCTGTGGGGCCTTTGCGAGCTACTTTGCAGACAAAGTCCTGTCGCTCTGCCATGAACTCCCCACCACAGTTGAGACAGTAAGTGAACTCGAGGCTCCATGCATGTCTTCTAGGCTTGCCAAGTCCCCCCGGGGGGCGGGGAAAACCCCGTCCCAGAGGCCCATTCCCCGCCAGCGGTGGATCGGGCCCCGGGGGCAACCCCACCCCGGCGTGCACGTCACCCGGATGTGATGTGATGACGCCGGGCACGCTGGGGGCAGGGCCACAACCATTTGAGGGGAAAACATAGAGTTTTCCCCTCAAATGGCTGTGGCCCCGCCCCCAGTGTGCTCGGCGTCATCACGTCACATCCAGCTGATGTGCATGCAGCGCGTGCGTGTGCGTACAGGACGCTGAACGGGAGCCCCCCGCCGCGAGGTAAGAACAATTTGGCAACCCTAAGGCGAACTGATCTCTGTTGACTGGAGATCAGTGGTAATTCTGGGGGATCTCCAGGCCAGACCTGGAGATCGGCAACTGTAGTTGGTGAAGAGTCATGGTGGGGATGGCAAAGTCATGTGGTTACATGGAAGGGTGTAAAAAAGGCCCAGCAAACTAAAAGTAGCCCATTGGGGACTGCTGTGTGATTTCTTACATCTAGAAATGTCTCCCTTCAACTGCCTCAGCACTTTACTACCTCATTACTGTCTCATTCCTTTGCGCCATGCATCAGAAAGGTGCCTTTGGGGAAAATGGCTGCCATTTTTTTCAGGGATTTCCCCTTCCTGCCTCAGGCAGCAGCAGGCCTGGCCATTTCCTTCGCCTTTCCTCATGCCAAGATTTGAACTTGGTTCTCCCAGGTCCAAGTCTGACACTGAAAGAATGTGTGTTGCTGTTTATGGCACAAACAGTATTTTTTGTGAGGTGTAGTGAGTGGTGGTGGTGCTGGTGGTTAAAATTTGGGCAAGGCCAGAGGAGACTCGCTGGGTGACCTTAGACCAGTTTCTGTCTCTTTTTAGCCTAGCTTACCTCACAGGGTTGTTGTGGCAAAGAAATGGCAGAGGGGAGAACCATGAAAGAGAACTGGTTGACCTCCGGCTAATCGTTCTCCCTCAGCCTACTGCACAGGGTTGTTGTAAGGATAAAACGGAGGAGAGGGGGGAAATCATGGATGCCACCCTTCGAAGGAGGGATAAAAATGTAATAAACGGATGTCAAAAATCACAGTCAGCTACCCGACCATCATTATTCAGAACAGATAAATACTAGAAGTGGGTACATGTTTATTTATTTTATTTATAGTCTGTCTTGCTCACTTGAGACTCAAAGTGGATTACATCGTGTAAACTGATGTAACTGGTAGGATGAGGTATCCAACAAGCAGGGTAGTCTAGAAGAAGAAAAAATAGGGGCTCAAAAGCAGTAGAATGCTAAAAAATAAATCACTTTCAAAACTGCTCAGGATAAAATGAAATGGCAACAGCCATCCAATAATAATAATATTATTGCAGCAATCTGAATCTCTGAAAAAGATGTCTGGAAGATATCCACTCAAGCCAGACTCTTCAGAGGCTCTCTGGAAAAGAACGATCTTTCAAATTATGCTTTGTGAAAACGCTCAGGGGTTTCCCCCCCACTCTCCTATCATGGCTCTGCTTGAGGGAAAGGGCGAAAATTTACCTCAGCCGAGTAAAAACCGACACGGCTTTCTCCACCGTGCTCTTGTATTGGGGTGATATGGGACTGTGGTGGAGGAAGCGATCTCCCTTTTTAGTTGGCTGAGGGGAAATGTTGCCTGTTTCCCGCAACCATTTTTACTGTGGGCAATATGAACGGATCCCAGGAGTTAACAATTAACATGAATATCAGTTAAAATGTAATGTTTTGGAGCAGACAAAATGGAAGGGTGACTGTGAGCAGCTGCTTTCACCGTGTGAGAATTCTTGCACATCTGGCAATGCAGGGTCACATTAACGGGGTAGCTAGCATAGGAATGAGTGGACAGCTTCATTTGATGCCAACCTCCAGGTGGGGTCTGGAGATCTCCCGGAATTACAACTGATGTCCTGATCACAGAGATCAGTTCTCCTGGAGAAAATGGCCGCTTTGGAAGGTGGACTCTATGGCATTATATCCTCCTGATGTCCCTTCCCTCCCCAAACCTCACACTTTCCAGGCTCCACCCCCCAAATCTCCAGGTATTTCCCAACCTGGAGTTGGCAACCCTAGGAAGTTCTGCTGGGCTGTTGACCCTTTTCACAGAGCAGCCGTTTTAACGGAGCCTGTGATTTTTTTCAAGACGCCTGTAGAGAACCCAATTACCATAGCTACTCTGGGAGCTAATTTTTGCTGAAAAGAGTGCTAAGTATGTAATTAATAAATAAAATAGGGTACATGCAGGGCAAATCATCTTTTTAAAAGCCTCTTTTTTTCTTGCAGTTTATGGCTTCCACTGGTAACAATGCCGCAAAAGCAAAATATGAAGCTGAAATCCCACCGTTTTATTACAAGCCAACTGCTTCAGACTGTCAGTAAGTACTCCGAATAATAATAATAAAATATATTCCCCCCCCCATGATGAACAGCTTGTGTGCAGCTGCAGTGTTTGTAATTTTTTTTTTGCTTGTTCATGTTGAAGTTTTAATTTCTCCTTAGAGCTTGACTTACAAAAAAAAAGACCCTGAGAACCTTGGTTTTTCTGAGATGACTCAGGATTGTGGGAATCCTGTGGGGCTTTAGAGTCGGTCACTTCTGGGCATTTGAATCTTGCAGGAGAAGCTCATGTTTCCTTTTCTTGCTAATTTTGTTGTGGCTTATTTTATAAGAAGTCACAGTTTTAAACTTGCTCAGTTTGGTGTAGTAGTTAAATGCATGGAGTCTAACCTGGGAGAACCGGGTTTCATTCCCCATGCCTCCACTTGCAGCGGCTGGATGAGACCTTGGGCAAGCCATAGTTCTGTCAGAGCTGTCCTCTCAAGAGCAGTTCTCTCAGAGCTCTCTCAGCCCCACCTGCCTCACAGGGTGTCTGTTGTGGGGAGGGGAAGGGACAGGAGTTTGTAAACCGCTCTGAGACTCCGAGTGAAGGGCGGGGTAGAAATCCAATCTCTTCCTCCTCCTCCTCTTCTTCTACTTCTTCTTCTCTTCTTTTATTATGCATCTGAACATTTCTCTTTCTGGTTGAATTTGAAAACATAACAACAGCATTTGGCATTTATGTAATGCCTTCACACATTATTGAAGTGATCTCCAACGTGGTGCCCCTGGGCGCCATGGCATCCACAGATGTGTTTCCTGGTGCCCACGTCCTTCCCCAAAGTTAAGAGTAATTCTTGGCTTTTGTCCACTTCAGAGGAGCAGGAGGTACTTCTGAAGAACTTAGGAGGCGTCACCTTTGTGTCTGCAGGAAGTATGTATCCAGAAACCGCTGCCTCCATCATAGGATACTTAGACGGGAACCGGTGTGGCACAGTGTCAGGCTAGGATCTGAGCGACCCAGGTTCAGATCCACGTTCTGCCATGAAAGCTTGCCAGTTGACCTTGGGCTGGCCACCCTCAGCCTGGCCTACCTCACTGGGTGGTTGTTATGGGGATAAAAAGGAGGAGTGAGAAATGATGTACCTAGCTCTGAGCTCCTTGGAGGAAGGGTGGAATAAAAACTTCCCAACACCATGTGACTGGACCGAGCCATTTTGTGGGCCCTGTATCCATCATCAGATTTTCGACAGGCTCAACTTCCTTCCTTCCTTCCTTCCTTCCTTCCTTCCTTCCTTCCTTCCTTCCTTCCTTCCTTCCTTCCTTTAGATTTTCGACAGGCTCAACTTCCTTCCTTCCTTCCTTCCTTCCTTCCTCCCTCCCTCCCTTCCTCTCTCTCTCTCTTTCTCCCCATTTTTGGGGGGCCCAAAGTGGCTTATGGGATACAAAAATACATTTTCTTTTGGTGTGTTTGTGTTGAATTTTTAATTTTGACCTGGGCCGGTTCCAGATTTTATTGGGCCAAGGGCAGAAGGTGCCTGGCAGCTGCCCCACCTCAGGGTATGTTGATTCCAGCCCTGGGCTTGACTTACAAAAGGGCCCTGAGAACATTGGTCCTTCTTCGATGCACTTGTAGAATGAACAGATTGGTTGCAGAGCTTCCTCAAGTCTTCAGACCTTTCCCCTCTGAAGGAAAACAACCTTGCTGAGGATTCCCTGTTTGTTCCACGTCCCAAGGCAGATAAAAGGGACTTCATTGACGGGCATGTGAACAGCCTTATTACAGAGCTGGAACTAGAGAAATCTCTCCAACGTCAGGAAGACATTGCAGGTGAAATCGAATGCATAGAAAAAACTCTTCTAAAGAGGCGGGGTGAACTTAGGGAGGCAGACAGACTCCTTGCCGAAGCAGAAAATGAACTTGAAAACACTCGAGGAAAAGAGTTCCCCTGGCCAGCCAGATGGCGGGATAGTAAGACCACGCCATCCTCGACGACGGAGCTGGCGGCGAATCCCGGGTGCTTGGAATACTGAGGGCCACAGAAGATCACAAGCCAGAGTGGTGCTGTTGACATGGAGTCGGTCGGGGGGAGCAGAGATTGTTGGTGGGACTTGGATCCGACCCAGAGCTGCTCGAACTGGCTGGACAGGGAAGGCGCCTGTGGAGTGGAGCCTGCAGCTAGAGAGATCGTGGAGAGCGCAGCGCCCCTAGTGGCCACTACAGGGAAGCTGTCAGGACTTTTCTGTCGCCCCCCCCTGCAGGCGGGGAATTAGAACTGGAGCCCCAGAACTGGAGCAAGCTACCCCTGTTAGAGGTTAGGTCTGATAGTTTTCTGGGGTAGTATTGTGGAAGACCGGTGTTCAGTCATAGATTTTTGTGCAATCACTAGGGAATTTTATAGCAGTGTAGGTAGTTTGTGTTAGCTATCTTTCTTTGACAAGCCTTTATTGGCATATGTATATACATACATGTATTAGCTATCAGCATCAGGAGTATAAAACTGTGTCCAGCTCTTCTTGGAGGGCTAGCATTTAGCTGGCTACCAGTGGTCTGAAGTGTCTACATAGACCCGCTGTGTCAGCAATGCCTGGACAACAGATTCTGGTGCTCTTGGGGAGGGGAAAGTTTAGTGGTGGGCCCAGGCAGAGTATTAAGGGAAGGACGCTGAGAAATAGAATAGCTCGGCACCCTTCCAACCTACGGCCCATCCCAAGGGTTGTCGGCAGTGGGGCCAGGATTGTTATCCCCCTCCGGCATTAGTGTTGTGCAACGCCAGGTCTATTAATAATAAGACCACAGTCCTTCGGTACCTTGTGCAGGAACAATGGGCTGACCTGGTGTGCGTGACCGAGACCTGGGTGCGGGATGGGGAGACAGTGGCTCTCTCCCAACTAACCCCACCGGGTTTCTTGGTCCTCCACCAATCACGGACTAGGGGGCGGGGGGGAGGAGTGGCTATCTTCATTCGGGAGGCTTACTCCTTCAGGGCGCTCCCACCCGTGGAGATCATGGGCTTGGAGTGTGTCAGCCTGATGCTGGAGGCTGAAGAGAGTTTGGTGATCTGGCTGGTGTACCAACCGCTTAACACACAAGGCAGTAGCCTACCGTCCCTGCTGGAGGCTGTATCAGGCTGGGCATTGGAGCACCCTAGACTGGTAGTCATGGGTGACTTCAGCGTCCACACCAAGGACATGGCTTCCAGCTGGGCTACGGACCTAGTGTTGTTTATGGACAGGGACTCTCTCAATTCGTATCGGCCCCCACGCATCGGGCCGGTTACACGCTCGATTTGATCTTCGCGGCTGGGCTGACAGTGGATCGGATGACTGCAGAAGCAGTACCATGGTCAGACCACTATGCCCTGAAGGCCCGTCTGAATGTTCCACCCCGGCCCTGTTTAGGCATCGAGCAGATTTTAGCTCGCCCACAGAGCCAAATGGACCCAGTATGGCTTCAGATGGCTCTACGGGATCTGAGGCCCCCTGGCGGCTCGCTGGATGAGCTTGTGGAGGACTGGCATGGCTGACTCTCCACAGCCATCGATGAGATCGCTCCCAGGTGCCCTCTCCCCACTCGCTCTAGGCGGGGCACCCTGGTACACCCAGGAGCCACGGCGGATGAAGCGAGAACTGAGACGGCTAGAGAGATGGTGGTGTTGCGCTCATGATGAGGCATCAAGAGCATCTTATAGGACGTTTTTGAGATCCTATGAGATGGCAGTCAAGGCCGCAAAGAGAGAATTCTATGCGACCAGGATTGCATCTGCTAGCTCACGCCCAGCTTAATTGTTTAGAACAATTCAGTCTTTAATGGCTCTGTCACAGGGCAGGCAAAATGCTAGGGAATTGGGGCATTTGCGAGCTATTTCGCAGATAAAGCCTTGGTGCTCCGCTGCGATCTCCCCACCATAGTTGAAACAGTGAGTGAACTCGAGGCCCCTTGCACATCTTTGGTTTTGGGTTTAGAGTGTTTTAGCCTTCTCAGTCTGGAGGAAGTTGACAGATTGCTCGTATCTGTGCGCCCAACCACTTGTAGCCTTGACCCATGCCCCTCCAGGCTCATTAAAGTGGGCCATAAGGCCACTGCCAAGTCGGCCTTTTACCATCTCCAGCTGGCTCAGTAGTTGGTTCCCTTCCTTGACCATGATTACCTGGCCAAAGTGATCCATGCGACAGTCACCTCGACGTTAGACTACTGTAACGCTCTCTACATGAGGCTGCCTCTGTTGCAAATCCGGAAGCTGCAGCTGGTGCAGAATGCTGCAGCCAGGCTCTTGGTGGGCCTCCCTGGGCGGGAGCACATCCAGCCTGTGCTGAAAGCGCTGCACTGGCTGTCAATAGTGTACCGAATTCGCTTCAAAGTGCTGGTTCTTACCTGTAAAGCCCTATATGGCCAGGGTCCAACATACCTAAGGGACCACCTTTCCTCATATGTACCCCAAAGGGCACTATGGTCGGGGATGGAACATCTGCTGGTGACCCCAGACCCCAAGGAGGCCAGGCTTGCTGCAACCAGGGCCAGGGCATTTTCGGTGGTGGCTCCTACCTGGTGGAACGAGCTCCCAGAGAAGATCTGGGCCCTGTGGGGCCTTGCGCAGTTCCGCAGGGCTTGCAAGATGGAGCTCTTCTGCCAGGCTTTCAAATAGGAGCCGCCACTACTACTACCATCACCACCAACAACAACTGGTTTGGGCAACAGCAGGGTGTGGAGATGGCCCTGTGATGAGTGAACTACAGCGCGGCATGGGGCTGATACCACTGAACCACCCTCTTACTGAAGACTGATTGTGAAACATCCAGAGCACTTGTAATAAAATAAATGATTGTTTTAGCTTGTTTTTAATTTTGTTTTTATGTACTGGCATTTGTGAAACTTTTGGTTCTGCCAGGATCCTCCAGGGCAAAACTAAATATCCTTCCAGGTTCCTTTGTTGGGTTGCCATCCGATGGCTGGTACCCAGCAGGAGACTGGGGAGCCGGGACATGGGGAGGGAGACACTGCTGCATCGATGGTGTGACATCATTTCTGGGGCGGACCCGGAAATGACATCACACCATC